TCATCCTCTTTTAGGTAGGGGAGTACCACTGAAAGAGCAAGGCCTTATGAACCAAACTGAACTTTATACAAATTTTCATCACATATGTAACATGAGGATCATAGCTAATAACACTGTATTGTATTTGAGAAATTTTAAGTACTCTTGCCATAAAACAGGTAGAGGGTAACTATGTGAGATGACAAATATGTTAATTTGCTTGACCATAGTAAACACTTCACTATATAGGTATTTTAAAATATTATGTTGCACACCTTAAATATATATAATAAAACTTCATTGCAAGCATACTATGTGAGCTAGTTACTGATATTTTAAAATTCAGTTTTCTCAGTAACAAAATGGGCATAAATAAACATGGGGCTCAAAGAATATAAAGAGAGGAAGAAAAGAGGAAAGTGAAGTAAAGAGAGAAAGATTGGGGGCAAGGAGAGAAGAGAAAGAGAGAATAGGGTAGGGAGAAAGGAAAAGAGGGAGGGAGAATGGGTGGAAGGGAGGCAGATGGATGTTATCTTTAGGATCAAATGAAATCGTTTCTAAACCAACCTTAGTTCCCCATCTGTTCCCTTTTCCTTTGCTTCTCCCAGCCCCTCTTCCTGTATCCTTTCCTCAGGGAATTGACAACACCCAGTCATAACCCTCCACACAGGAATGCCCCGCCAGCTCCAGGACTGCTATAGATGTGACCAACGAGCCCATTCAAAGCACAGCATGAAGATGACAAATGGCACTGGTCTGCTTGAATCAGGTTAACTTTGCCTGGGCTGTCCTCATGTAAGGAAGACAGAACATCACATTGTTGGGGAAGCCTGAAAGGAATCAATTTATCTGCCATTATTAGGCTTTTATTTAGTCACGCTCTCTCAACTAAAACTTATTTTTAAATTACCATTATTGTGCTCTATTGAGGAAGAAAAGTAAAACATAAAACAAAAATACTTCAGTTTTTTGTTCTGTTTTCTTCTGGAGAGGAGGGTTGGCAGGGAAAATGAGAATAAAGGATAGTTGTCTGGAGCACTTATTGAGCACTTACTAGGTGCTGTCCCATTTTTTAAGTGATGTATATATTTTATTTCATTTTGTCATCATCATGACTTTATAAGGCAGGTATGATTACAGATTATCTCCTTTGTATAGAGACAATGCTGACACAGAGACTTTAAAATGTCCTCAATTAGACCTTGAGCTAGAAGAGTGGAGCTGGAATCAAAACCCAGATGCTCTGATTCTAGAATTCTTGAGCTTAATCTTTACACTGAGAGTGAGCATGGGTCTGAAGTTGGACAAACCTGGGTTCAAGCATTAGCCCTGCCAACTAAGGGCTAAGTAACCTTGCGAGCATTCATTTCTTCATGAGATAATGTATGTAAAAACCTTTAACATGAGGCTTGGCATAGAGCAACTTTTCAAAAGAAATGTTAGCTAAGAATAGTTTCAGTTTACTATGGAAGTTTCAGAAATGGCAACATTGTTTTAATTTGCTAGTTGTTAATTTTTGTACCTTCATCACAACACAGGCACAGTTGACATTGGGGCAACTATTTATTTTGAAGCATTCTTACTTTGGAAAAAGAATAATAAATCACATTCTGAAAACCTCATTGCATTTGGATGAAATGGTTTCTGCTTTTATGATAAACTCCTAAATATGATTTACAAATCATCCTGGAAAGAAGTAGACTGTGTATAATAATAAATTGCTACCCTATTATTCTGCTCTTCTAAATACTATCTAATCCTCATTGTTTTGTCTAGATCATTAAGAAACTGTATTTGAAGGGCTCAAAGGAAAGCGATGTTGTAGAAAAATTCAAGTTCAAAACTCAGATACAAAAACTCTTTTTGCTCACAGACTTAAGACACATACCTGTTTTGGTTTTTGTGTTGAATATACCTGAATATATACAGGAAACCTTTGAATTTTCTTTGAAAAGGGATATGTTACAAAATAATAGCTCCATGAGGAAGCAACCTTAAACTGGTACCAACCCTGCCAAATTCAGTTTCATAAATGTGTACTATTTATTGGCTTTGAGCTAGTAGGTTGAGTAAAACGAGGGAAACAATTTAGGTACCTTTTCTTCCTTTTAATAATATGTTGAAAAGCAGTACCAATTTTCCTAAATACCCCGTTATTATGCCTGAATAGTATTGCAACTCTACAATTTAAACTATTTCCTAAGATGTTTTCTATCAATGTATATTGTCTTTATACCAATTATCTAAAGAACCTTAGTAATTTTCATCTTTTTCAACAAACCCTGTAGGTGAGAATAGCTAGACTTCCAGCAGTGAAGTACAGGTAAAGAGAGCAGAGCAGTGAAAAGAGAATAGAAATCCAGGCCAGAGGCTCTGGAAACAGGCTAGGGAAGGGGGTCGGGAGGAAGAACAACAGGGTGGCTTCTCTAATTGTTAGCTCTATCTCAGCCTTTTAAAAGACCCTTGACCCCAAGGAAGAAAGCAAATGGCCTCTTTTCTCCCAAACCATGTGGATTTAAAGAGATTCTTTCTTTGAAAAGATTATCATGGTTTCGAGCATGCTCTGTTTCATTATATAGTATTTAGAACCAAAAGAAGAACAGAGGGGAAGAGGATAAGGGAAAGAGGGAGAGAAAGGGTCAGGCGCAGAGAAAAAGAGATGGGGAGGAGAAGGGATGAGATTGGGAGGAGGGGGAAGGGAGATAAAGATGCTGCAGGATCTCTTTCCCACCTGCTGACAAAGTAAACACTTCCTAATTTGGTTTTGGTACTCAGCAAAAATAGAAGGTAGTGATAGAAGAAAAGTGGGCGAGAGTGCAAATGAGAAAAAGGGTGAGAGTAAAGGAGAGAGAAGGAGGCAGGGGAAATGCAGGCGTGATAGAGATATGAAGAGACAGAGGAAGAGACAGGCCAACAGGATAATCACAGTTGAAATTGCTTTCTATCTTGCCTGATGAATGCTTTTAGTACCTATCTTATCCCACACATTGGGATAAGCTTCTAAAGGCTACCCCACGGTGGTACCAGTCATGGCACAATTCTGGACCAGTCCAGGAACTAGCCCCATGCCTCGGCGCATTACCAAGAAATCAGACACACCAATGACGCACTCTCTGTGTGTCACTTCTGGATTAGAAACTTATTTTTAAAAGCAAATTTAAGAGTCAACGATTATATTCTAATTGCAAACCAGGCGTATGCCTTATACACAAGTCTTCAGAAGCAGAATTGGTGGGACAGAGTAGGAAAGTCGTCTCTTGTATTTATCAGTGCACATTCCTAACAGCCAGACACAGTTATGGGCAAAGACATTTGGATCCTGAGGAGAAATGGAGAGAGAGAAACAGACAGCCAAAGAATAGATGACTATCCACTGGCTCCTCCACCATCAGCCCAGAAGTGGTGCAAGTCACTTCTGCTCAAATTTTATTAGCCAGAAACGTTTACATGACTATACCTAACCTAAGGGAGCAAGAAAACGACCCTACTAGGCCTTAATGGAGAAGGGCCAGAATATTGATAAATAATCCTTGTAGCTACTAAGAGGGAAATAGCCTTTTGAGAAGTGTTCTAGGTAAGAGATTTGCATGTGCAAAGTCCCAGAGACAAGAGAAGGCAGAGTGTTGTAGGCTCTACTAGAAGTTCAGAATATCTGAAGTATGGGTTTTAAAGGAAGAACTTATGAATGATAAAGCTTGAGAGTTAAGCATGAAATGATCACTTGTAAGTAAGCTGTAAGCTGTATTAAATAACTTGGATTTTTTTTAAATCTTAAAACAAATAAGGTTTATTCTCCTGCTTCTTATCCATTGAGTTTTTTGAGGGCTCTGATCTCACAAAATCCTTAGACAGGAACCCAGGCTGACAGAATGCCCAGAATCTACAATTTTTTCCCATGTTTATTGTATTTCATTTTTTTAAATGTTTCTACTTTTAAAAAGTTTTTTATTTTTGTTTCTTAAGATATACATGTGCAGAATGTGCAGGTTACATAGGTATATATGTGCCATGCTGGTTTGCTGCATCTATTGACTTATCCTCTAAGTTCCCTCCCCTTGCCCCTGACTCCCCAACAGGCCCTGGTGTGTGATGTTCCCCTCTCTGTGCCCATGTGCTCTCATTGTTCAACTCCCGCTTATGAGTAGGAACATGTAGTTATAACTTGGAATTTTATCCTAAAAGCAATGGGAAGCCATTGAAAGATGTAAAGGTTTGTAGCAATGCAATTAGATCAGTATTTGAGAAGACATCCTTGCTGAATAGCCTGGAAGGAAACAAGAATAAATTCATTGATTCATTTATCAAATACAGTACTGTATGTCAGGCATCAGATCCCCGACTTAGGGGCTTGAAATACAGTGGATTCAGGGAAAGCAATGAGGAAGCTGTTAATGGCTCATATCCAGACAAGTCATGTGAGTGACCTAGACTAAGATATTAAGGTATTGGAGATAGGGATAGAGAGAAGTGGGCATATTTGAGAAAAAGCTATTGGGTGTGGATGGTGAAGGAGGGGGAGAATTCCATAAAAATATTCTTCCTGTGATTTGGTCTGCAGGGTGAATAGTGATGTCATTTACTGCGATGGGGAGCACTGTTAATGAATAGGTGTGGGCAGGCAGGAAGCTGGATAAGTTCCATTTTGGCACAATATTTGAGCTTGTAACTGAGTTCTTGTTTTCTATTTGCTTTTGGCATTGGATTTAATAGTGATTTCATTTAGTTGTTTGAAACATTACTTTTTAGCTAACTTCTTGGATTTGGTGACAGAGCATTTAAAATTTTCTCTGGCTTGGACCCAGGCACTCTTCAGACTCAGTTTTTGTAGCTCCATCCTCCCCTCTTCTTCTAAGCTCCTGACTGTCAAGGGGAAAGATGGAGAAATTTGTAAGTTACTGGCCTCACCTCACCCAGGGGTGGGGAGAAGCTCGTTCAGATAACTTCACCTACTGTTCATGTAGTTCAAAGGCCTATGCCATCTCTATCATTTGCAAGTATTTATATTCAGTTGCACAATATTGAAAAGCAAAAACCACACTGAAATTTTAATGAACATCCAAGTGACGGTGAGGATGTGGAACAAACTTTTCTTCAGTGCTCTCAGGAGTTTAAATCACATACAAACCCTTCGATGTGTACCACTGCTTGGTACGTACCCTAGAGAAATTCATGCATGTATGTCCCAGGACCCATGAGCGGGAGGAGTACATATTGCAGAATTCTTTGTCATATCTAAAGTTGAAAAAAAAAAAAATAACCAGAAAGAATAGAATGTATAAATAACTGTTGTCTATTCACAAAGAACAGTATAACTACAGTAATGATCATGACCAAATCATAGCCATGATTAACATTATAGATGATTCTCACATGTAATGATGAATGAAAGAAGCAAGATAAGAAGGAATTTTAACTACTGTCCAATTTAAATAAGGTTCAAAATAGACAAAGCTGCCACATTATTTAGGGATGGGTAACAAGCCACAAAGAAAAGCAAAATATGATTATCAAAAATTTCAGGGTAGTCATTACCTCTGGAAAGAGGGTTTGAGTTGGGACAAGGGAGAGGCACCCCAGGACCTGGAGCTCTTGGGGAGCTATCAAAGCTCTGTTTCTTATGAATGAAATTGGCTCTTATACTTTAGGGGTGAAGAATTAACCTAAATTCTGTTTTTGAACATTGATTCTAAACTCAAAGGTAAAATATTGCTTTAATGTGGGTTCTCTACACTCATCAAAAAAAAAAAAAAAAAAAAGGTTTGTAGTGATAGGTTTAGATGTAGAAAAGGGGACAAAGAAATGAGCTGGTGTTGGATTGCAGCAATTGGTGAGAAGACATTAATGCAGGAGGACTCTTTGACTAGCCTTGTTCTGAGGACTGACACCTGCTGCCCTGAATCTGAGGGTTACATCCTTTTTTCACATTCTGCCTAGATGGGGCATCCGATTATTTCATTCCTTTCTTTTAACTTCGTTCTTAGTCACAGTGGCTTTTAGGGGGTTGTTCCTTTCATCAGGGACTGGAACATACCCCAGAGTCACCTTCTGCGTTATATTTATGTAGAGTGATGGCCTCCTAAAGGTCTTTGTGTGGATTATGGTGGCATACATTTTCTCTTTGTAAATTTTTATTACATTTTTTTGTTTTCTGATTATTAATGTAATATGCAAAATCTACATGCATTAACTTACAAAGGGCACAAAGACATCACATTGAATACAGCAAAAGCAAGTTGTAGATATGTACAAAATATCCTTTATTTTTTGGTGGTGTATTTTTATGTGAGTGTATATGCATGCCAAAGCAGAGAAAAAAGTCCTAGGAAGCTAGACAACAGAGGCTTTCAACTGGTGGTGATTTTGTCCCCCAGAGGACATTTAGCAAAGCCTGGAGACATTTTTAGTTTTCACAACTAAGAGATGGGTGCTCCTGGCATCTGGTGGGTGGAAACCAGGGATAAGATATCGTACAATGTACAGAAGAGCAATCCCCATCTACTCTTAAAAAAAGTGTTATCCTGCCCAGCATGTCTACAGTGCTGCTGTTGAGAAATCCAGCCTCCCACCAAATTAGTAACCATGTTACTCTCTATGGAGGGGGCTGAAATTATAAGATACTTAGGAAGTATTTCAGTCCTATCTGTGGTGTTTGAGTTTCAAATATGACAATTTTCTTATAATCTATAAAATATTAATAAACATATGAAAATAATCTGTATCTATTACAAAACAATGGTCAATACTGAAACATGAAAAAGAAATCAATTAAAACTATCTAAAATCCATTATTCAGATATCTGGTATTTTAAAAATCATTTTTCCTATGTGCCTATCTGTGTACATGTAGAGTTATATTTCTAAAATGATGTTAATACTCTGCATTAGGCTTAACATTTTTTCACTCACATTTTATAATGAATATTTCCCCAGGTCCCATATTAATTTACGTCAATAAATATTTCCCAAAAACAGAATTTTAAGTGGCTGTGAAACATTCAGTGTAAATGGATGTATCAGAGCTATATTTCTAAAATAAATTCAGAAATATTTCTAATAAGGCAATGTTTATGTTTAGAATATATTCAAGTGAAGACAAATTTCTGAAGCAAAGAGGTTTATGAGGAGAATAAGGCATATCACAGAATACCAACTTCAGATTTCAGTCCTATAATGACCTCTTTTCATTTTCAATACTGAGCAAAATTAACAGAAATTAATGGATAGCATACACATTTGAAAATAGAAATTTGAGAGCTGACTGCCAACTTTGAAAAGATATGACTTAATAATGTTGCTACAGCAAGAAACCTCCTAAAATACAAGTAATTGCCACTTGCGGTTTAATTATTCCATTTTCTCAAGAACATAGTTTGGAGCTGAAGTATGCATATTGGGTAGCGATTAACCTTCAATAGTAACATAGAGGACACCAAATAGCTTGTTTAAGCATCTCTCTTCTTGAAATGCCACTAAAATAAATCAAATTCCAATTTCTATTCACGGATTAGAGCAAATTGCTCATTATGGTCAGGCAAATGGAGACCTTTCAACAAGTGGGAGGACGTGGAGTCAGAAATGACTGCCAGTGAGAAGGTCTGTGGCAGTGAAAAGACAGGAAGGTGAAAGAGCAACGGCCCTTAGCAAGTGCGGCTCCCCGCCTGCCCAGAGCTCAGCTTTCCCACACTTTGGCCACTGGCTCACTTAGCTCTGCGTGGTTTGAAAATGCTTCCAGGTCACCGCCAGATTATCTTCTGCTCCACACACTTGACTTTACATGTCTTTCGAATAATGGGATGATTTAATGGAACAGCTGGAATTTGTTTCCTGAAGTGCCATGTATTCAGAAAACAAAGTGATGAGATGATGATTCTGTGGAGGTAAGGCAATATTCTGCACAGCCAAGTTCCTCTGTGGTTAAAGATGGGGACTCTGGAGTCATAATCTCCACAGAATAGCTGTGTAACTTTGGACAAGTCACCTAACCTCTCTGTACCTCAGATTCCTCTATCTGCCCAATGGTAATAGCACTAATTTCCATGTCTTGTGATTGCTTGAGGATGAATGAGGCTATCTTAGCCTATTTGTGTTCCCATAACAGAGAATATCACAAACTGGGTAATTTATAAATAACATAATTTTATTTCCTCTCAGTACTGGATACTGGGAAGTCTGAGATTAAGACAGCCACAGGTTCAGATGTCTGCTGAGAATCTGGTCTCTGCTTCCAAGGTGGCACCTTGAAAGCTGCATCCTCCAGAGGGGAGGAACTATTGTGTCCTCACATGACAGAAGGCAGAAGGGCAAGAAAGGGCAAACTCTCTACCTCAAGCCCTTTGAAATAGCATTAATCCATTCAGGAGCAGGGATGCTTCATAGCCTAATCCCTCTGAAAGGCCCACCTCTTAATACTACCACACTGGCAACACCTGAATTTTGGAGAGGGACACTCAAACCGTAGCAGAGGAATATACAGAAAGCAGTGCCCTGGGCACCACGACTTGCCCAGTCTTACAAGGTGTTATAGTTCTCTGTTTTACTCTACTCCTCCAACAGTCTGAAACATCCAATTCTCCGAATGACAAAGGGCTCTATTAAGCTCAGAAGAGTGTTCTGGGAGAGTGTAAAGAGAAGATCAAGGGCATTTGGGAAGGTTTCATAGAGAACACACTTCCAGTATGGCCTGTTAGCCTCTCTCTGCTCTGACCCATGCATCTCTTGCTGGACCTGTTTTCAAGTGGCTTTTGCTCTCAGCATGGGTGGGATAAATAAATCTAGCCTGACTTGTCCTTTCTGATTTAGGAAGGGGAAAAACAGCTTTCTAACTTAGTGCTTTTAGGGAAATGGCCATTTACACACTGATTCATTTATTCAGTTGTTCAATAGAAAGCATGTCTGCTCTCTGTGGCAAACATAGTATCGGTAGGTGAGCAAAATGAGACCCTATTCTGAGAAAGCTCATGGTTTGTGGAAAGAGGGATATATTTCAATAGATCTCAACAGAACAATGAAGACTATTAACAAGCAAAACAACAACAAAAACACAGTCGCTGACCCCTTTCTCTATATAGTCTTCTCCTGCTTCCCTTTAAAAAAAAAAATCTGCCTCTTCTCATAGATGCTGGTAAAGAAACCAACATATCATATTTAAAAAGTTGTGGCTTATATTCAACCTGTGGAACATCTAGCAGAAATTCCTTTTGGAATGTTTAATCAAGTAACTACCGTCCCAGCCTCTCAGAATGCAACTGGTATTCACTACTGTTGAGTCCTCTCCCCATTTTTCGTGTTGAAAAAATATGTCAACATTAACGGGAAAAAAATGAGCAGTTTGACTTCGATACAATCCTAGGACTTAAATCCAATGCTAGAAAGTATTGATTTTTGGATAAAATTCTTTATAAGGTTGTCATGACAAGTTTCCTAATTCTATTAGAATTTTGACTGTATGTTTGGTTGTCTGACCTATTTTGACTCAAGGCTGAGAGCTTTTCTAGTTGGTCTATTTGGGTTAAAACAATTCTCTTCTGGCTTATTCAGGGAGCTTTGTCATGGAGGCTGTGACATGAAGGCCTGACAGAAATGATAGACGCTGGAATGACAGACCTGGACAAGTATTGTGAACAAGGTCTGCTCTGCTAAGATTCTTTGGTCATGGAGTGCCTCTCCTAACAATGTGAGACTCAGATTGAAATTCCTTTTGGAATATTTAATCAGGTGACTACTGTCCCAGTCTCTCAGAATGCAGCTGATATTCACTACTGTTGAGTCCTTGCCCCACTTTTTTGTGTTGAAAAAGGTATTTTGGAAAATTCCTTTTTCAACACAAAACTAAAAAGGTATATTGGGAAAATACCTTAAAGAATGTTATTTATTAGGCAAGAGCACCAATACACAGGCTTAAGGAGGACAAAAGTCCTTTGCAAGTAACTTTGTCCTAGGGTAAGTAGAGAACGTTTTGAGGGAATGATAAATACATGCACACTTCAGACCTGGGAATCTGTTCCTGTCTTGCTGTCCCAGCTTCCATGTAGATTTCCCATGTGAATGATCCATGCACGTTAACCTCTAGAGGCAGGCTACTCAGATCAGTTTGTCCTTAATAACTGAATTGTCTGAGAAGGGTAATGACTTCTGTAGTCCTTGTCCTCAAATCCTTCAAATTACTATAATTGGAGTCCTTTAGCATCCATCTGCAGGTCCATCTTTTCTCTAGACTCTAAAAGTAATTATTT